GGCCTCTCACTGTTGTGGCCTCTCCCGTTGCAGAGCACAGGCTCCGGACATGCAGGCCCAGCGGCCATGGCTCACAGGCCCAGCCGCTCCGGATCCTCCCGGACCAGGGCACGAACCCATGTCCCCTGCATCGGCAGGCGGACTCTCAACCACTGTGCCACCAGGGAAGCCCCTCTATTCCTAGTTTGTTGAGAGTTTTTATCATAAGTGGATGTTGAATATTATCAAGTGCTTTTTTTGCATCTATTGATATGATCATGTAATATTTCTTCTTTAGCCTGTTGGTATGATGGATTACATTAATTGATTCTTGAATGCTGAACCAGTTTTGCATACCTGGGATAAATGTGACTTGGTCATGGTGTATAATTCTTTTTATAAATTGTTAGATTTAATTTGCAAATATTTTGTTGAGGATTTTTGCAAATATGTTCATGAGAGATTTTGGTCAACAGTTTTCTTTTCTTGTGATACCATTGTCTGGTTTTGGTATTAGGGTAATGCTGGCCACAGAGAATGAGTTACAAAGTACTCCCTCTGCTTCTATCATCTGAAAGAGATTGTAGAGAATTGGTATACATTTTTCCTTAAATGTTTGGTAGAATTCACCTGTGAATCCATCTAGGACTGGTGCCTTCTGTTTTGGAAAGTTATTAACCATTGATTCGATTTCTTTAATAGGTATAGGACTATTCAGATTGTCTATTTCTTCTTCTTTGAGCTTTCGCAGATTGTATATTTGAAAGAATCAGTCCATTTCACCTAGATTATAAAATTCATCGGCATAAAGTTGTTCATAGTATTCCTTTATTATCCTTTTAATGTCCATGAGATCTGTAGTGATGTCTCCTCTTAGTTTTATGATATTAGTAATTTATGTCATCCATCCTTTTTTGTTTTTAGTTAACCTGACTAAAGGCTTATTAATTTTATTGATGTGTTCAAAGAACCAGCTTTTGGTTTCACTTATTTTCTCTATTGATTTCCCGTTTTCAATTTCATTGATTTCTGGTCTAAGTTTGTGTTTTTTTCTAATTTATTTATTTTATTTATTTATTTTTGGCTGTGTTTGGTCTTCGTTGCTGCGCGTGGGCTTTCTCTAGTTGCAGTGAGTGGGGGTTACTCTTCATTGCGGTGCACAGGCTTCTCACTGCAGTGGCTTCTCTTGTTGTGGAGCAGGGGCTCTAAGCGTGCGAGCTTCAGTAGTTGTGGCACGTGGGCTCAATAGTTGTGGCTCGCGGGCTCTAGAGCACAGGTTCAGTAGTTGCAGCACATGGACTTAGTTGCTCCGTGGCATGTGGGATCTTCCCGGACCAGGGATTGAACCCATGTCCCCTGCTTTGGCAGGTGGATTCTCAACCACTGTGCCACCAGGGAAGTCCCTGGTCTAAGTTTTATTATTTATTTTCTTCTGTTTGAGTTTGATTTGTTCTTCTTTTTCTGGCTTCCTAAGATAACAGCTTAGATAATTAGTTTCAGATCTTTCTTCATTTCTAATATATGCATTCAGTGCTATAAATTCCCCTCTAAGCACTGCTTTCATTGCATCCCACAAATTTTGATGAATTGTATTTTTATTTTCATTCAGTTCTAAATATTTAAAATTTTTCTTGGGATTCTTTTCATTGACTCATGTGTTATCAGATGTATGTTGTTTAGTCTCCACATACTTGAGGAGTTTTCCAGCTATCTGTATCTTCTGATTTCTAGTTTAATCCATTGTGGTCTGAGAGCATATATTTTATGATTTCTATTCTTTTACATTTGTTAAGGTGTGTTTTATGGCCCCAAAGTGGCCTATTTTGGGAACTGTTCCAAATGAGCTTGAGAAGAATGTGTATTCTGCTGTTGTTGGATGAAGTACTGTATAGATGTCCATTATATCCAGTTGATTGACGGTGCTACTAAGTTCACCTACGTTCTTACGGATTTTCTGCCTGTTGGATCTATCCATTTCTGAGAGAGGGGTGTTGAAGTCTCCAACTTTAATAGAGCTCATCTATTTCTCCCTGAAGTTCTATCAGTTTGTGCCTCATGTATTTTGATGCTCTGTTGTTAGGCACATACATGTTAAGTGTTGCTATGTCTTCTTGGTGTATTGACCCCTTCATCATCATGTAACATTCTTTTCATCCCTGATAGTTTTCCTTGCTCTGAAGTCTGTTCTGTCTGAAATTAATATAGATACTCCTGCTTTCCTTTATTAGTGTTAGCAGGGTATATTTCTCTCCATCCCTTTGCTTTTAATCTATATGTGTCTTCATTTACAGTGGAATTCTTGTTGAAAACACAGTTGGGTCTTATTGTTTGATCACTGTATAATCTCTTTTAATTGATACATTTAATCGTTGACATTTAAAGTGATTATTGATATGGTTGGAGTAACAGCTACCATATTTATTACTGTTTTCTATTCGTTGCCCTTGTCCTTTGTTCCTATTGTTTTTTACTCTTTTTCTGCCTCTTGTGGTTTTAATTGAGCATTTTGTATGATTTCATTTTCTTTCTCTTCCTAGCATAGCAGATATACATAGATATATATAAATATTTTTAGTGGTTGTCCTATAGTTTGCAATATACATTTACAATGAATCGAACTGCATTTTCAAGTAACATTGACCACTTTACAGTAATGGGAATATTTTATAACAAAATATTCCTAATTCCTCCCTCCTGTGCCCTGTATCTTTGCTGTCATTTATTTCACTTATCCATAAGCTATAATCTGGATATATTTTTTTCTATTTTTATTTTTAATAATAATTATTAAATTATTATGTTCTGTCAGATCAATTAAGGATTAAAAAAGTAAAGTTTTAATTTTCCCTTTATTTATTCCTTCTCTAATGCTCTTCCTTTCTTTATGTGGATCTGAGTTTCTGATTTATGCCATTTTTTTTCTCTCCTAAGGATTTCTTTCTTTTAACATTTCTTGCAAGCCAAGACTACTGGCAAAAAATCCCCTCTTTTTTTTTTTTTTTTTTTTTTTGTCTGATACAGTGCTTTGTAGTCCTGTATCAGGTCTCAGTCTTTGCTGAGCCTGTGCCCTTGGACTGTGAGCTTCACCACCGCTTTTCCTTTTCTCCCCCCTTTGGTGGGATAGGATGGCTAGAGGCGGCGGAGCTGGGTATTTTCCTGCCCCAGCGTTGATTAGGCCCTGATCAAACCCTGGCAGGTCACACTCTGGTGACTGTTTCTCCTGAGGGCAGCCTTGTTAAGAACAGGGTGTTCCTTTCCTCCTCTCCCTGTCAGAAACACAAGGGGATTTTCCTCCAATACTCACTGTGACCCCCAGGTCAAACTCTTGGAGGTAAAACTGACAAAAGTATGGGGCCCCCTTAAGATGAGCCCTGGGGTTTCTAAGTCTCAGGATTGTCCACGCTGAGCCTCCAGCAACTTGTCCATTGCAGCAGGTGGGTTTCCTTCCCTGGTGCTGGCTCCCACACAGGTTTCTGCTCTGGTGACTCTCTGTACCTGCCCATACGTCTCGCCAGTTTGGGGCAGGCTTTTGCCCTGTGACCTCAGTTCTCGGACAGATCTAAGAACAGCTGGTGATTTTCTGGTCTGTTCAGGTTTTCACCTGCTGTTGGGGTGGAGTGGCAGCTTCCAGGCTCCTTACATGCTGGACACCAGAAGTGAATTTTCACTTTAAAATGGTTATTTTTATATTTTGTGAATTTCACCTCAGCACATTTAAGAAATGCATGTTGTAATCTCCGCAGCAACCGCAAAGCTCGAGCGCTTTCTCCCGGATCCGTGCTCGCTGGCGGCCGCTGGGTCCATCAGGGCTGCCATCTCAGTGGCTGTGCCTGGGGCTTGTGCAGGTGTCTCCATACACCTTCCAAGCAGCCTTGTTCTGCAGGCTCCTGCCCCATAGCCCCACGACAGGGTTCAGCTCTCACCTCATCTCCGCATCCAGCCTGGGGACCGCTGGCTTTGTGTGGGGGGCAGGCCGCCACGTGAGGTGGGGGCCAAGTGCATGAGGTCTGCCTTCACCTGGGCGGGGGCCTCCCTGTGTTCAGTGCTCCCCAGACCAACAGCGATCTTGGCTCACGGGCTCCAGAAGGAGAGGGTGCTGTGTGAGAGGTCGGATGCTCAGAGCCACAAAGCCCACACATGCTGGGGCTCTGAGAAGTGCCAGACGTACAGAGAGGTGCTCCCCCCAGCCTCCCACAGGGCTGGCAGGCATCGGTGCAGGGCTGTCCACGAATACCTGTTCTTTTCTCACTGAGGACCAAGTATGTGCTCAGAAGCAGAGGTTTTGTGGAGAGCTCATCAGAAGTGCTGTTTCATTCCCACCCGAGGGGCTGAGAGTCTAGTCGGAAGGTGCGGCGGGGAGGGGGCACGGTGCAGTGGGGGGCAGCTTCGGGAGGGGAAAGGTTACCTGCCCAGGCCCAGGTGTGGCGTCCAGGGCGGCTGCCCAGAGAAGCGAGAGTCCTCACTGTGAGACCCTGAGGCACAGACAGGTGGGGTGGCCTTTGCCTGTGCCCCCAGTGGTGCCACTGCATGGGGGCGGGTGGTGGCCTAGGCCCCACGTGCTTGTCCTTGGGTTTCAGTTCCTGAGAGCACAGGATCGAGGCTCACAGGCCTCTCAGGGCAGCTGGTGGACATCGCGTGCAGGGCGTGCGAGGCCTACCTGGGGCGGCTGGAGCACGAGGACATCGACCTCTCTGAAGACGCCGCCAAGGACCTCACGGAGGACGAGTGGAAGGACCTGACCCAGCAGTACTACAGGCTCATTCAGTAAGAGGCCTGGTCGGCACCCTCTGGGGCCTGCCCGCTGCTCGCGTTACCCGGGGGACGCCGGGTGGGCTTTAGGGGTTGTCTGGGGACGTTGGCCCCTGGGACGTCTGGGGCGCCTGTCTGGGAGTTGGGGTGCCTTTTGGGGTGCCTGCCCAGGCCCTTGTTGGCTGATAAGAGGATGACACGGCCGGGCGAGCCTGTGGCACCTTGCGCACCCTGCGTGTCCTTTGCGTCATCTGGGGCCATAGCCACCCTGGGCGTCCCCTTCGCGGCCAGGCTGCCAGGCTGGCTCTGGGTGGTCGGGACCGGCAGGGCTGTTGCTCGGCCCAGGCCTCCTGACTCCACGACCTTCAATTGCCCCCCACTACCCGGGGGCCCTCTGCGGAGGGCTGCGACCTCTCACAGTGGCCGACAGCGAGAAGCTGGGGCAGGGGCGGGCCAGCACCCGCGGCGGGAGCAGCTGTCTGCCGAGGGAACATGGCAGCAAAGCTGGAGCGCTCATTTCGGAGGGTCTGCCTGCAGCGCACACGCACCATCCCGGGGTCGTTTCTGTTGTCTTACTCCTTTCCTTCTTTGGATCAAGTACTTTCTTCTTTACTGGATGTAAATGCGGTAAAGGGCACGCCATGTGCTGTTGGTATTTGTCCAGGAGGATACAAGTCTGCATATGTGCTCACTGTGTAGCCACCGCCCAGATCAAGATAAAGGACACTCCCAGCCTCCCAGCCCCCCTAGTAACCCTTCCCAGGCAGGACCCCACCAAGGTCACACCTCCTCTGACTCCCGCCACCTCCACCAATGTTGCTGTGGAATTTCATATTCATGGAATCATACAGGCCGGGCTGTCTCGTTTGTGACTCTTCTGCTCAACACAAGACCTGTGAGATTTATCCAAGTCGGTGCAGAAGCTCATTCTTTTCTGTTGCTGTGCGGAATCCCATCCTTTCAATAGACCACAGAGCCCTTACTCCTTCTGCTGTGGGTGGGCAGGTGGGATACCACCAGTCTTAAACAATTCCCAAAGTGGCTGTGCAGCTTCATAAGCCAGCCGTGATATGCGTCCACGCGCCCCACTCCCCGCGCCGCGGACAGCCCTCGACACTGTTACACTTTTTCATTTTCCCTTCCTCGTCGTCTCATCGTGGTCTTAGTTTGCGTTTCTCTGATGACCGATGGTGATGAACATACTTTCATATGCTTACTGGCCATTTGGCTATGTTCTCTCGTGAAGTGCTTATTCAAATCTTTTGATCATTAAAGAGAAAGAGGTTGGTTCTCTGTTTATAAAGTTGATTTCTAAGAGTTCTCGACATTTTCGTCACCAAGTCCTTTGTTGGAGATGTGCATTAAGCATACCTTCTCCCGGTGCATGACTTGTCTTTTTACCTTTCAGTGGAATTTCTTGATGAGGTCCACTGTTTTCATTTTTTCCCTATTATGGTAGGTCGAGTGCTGGTTAAGACATCTTTGACTCTTCAAGGTCATGAAGATGTTCCCCTATGATTTCTTCTATATGTTTTACTGTTTTTCCGTTCACTTTTAGCTTTTCATGATTAATTAATCTTAACTTTTGTGTAAGATAAGAGATAAGGATCAAGGTTCTTTTTTTGTATACAGATATTCACTGTGAATAAAAAATAAACATGGATTTTGGCGGAACTTGCTTTCAGCCCTGATCAGCACTGATCTGTTTTGGTAACTGTTTCATTTACACTTGAATATGATGTGTATCTGCATTGCTAGGTGGTGTGTTATTAAAAGTGTCAATTAAGTCAAGTTAGTGATTCAAATCTATATTCTTACTGATTATTTCGCTTGCTTGTTCTCTGAGATACTGAGAGAGCCTAGTTAAAATCTCCAACTGTATTTGAGTTATTAATAGACGTAAAGAGGGTATTTCATAACAAAAGAATCCAATCAAAGGAATCAAAGCAATCTGGACTTGGATGTAGTGAATACCGCATCAGAATATATAAAACAATCACAGAATTAAGAAGAGAAATAGAAATGCAACTGATTTTTGCGTGGTGACTTTGTATTCTGCTACTTTGCTGAATTCATTTATTAGCTGTTCAATTTTTGGGAAAAGTTTGAGAAGGACTTGTATTAGTTCTTCTTTAAATGTTTGGTAGATTTCACCAGTAAAGCCATCACGTCTAGGGCATTTCTTTGTTGGGAGAGTTTTGATTACTGATTCAAGCCCCTTAGTTGCTATAGGCCTATTCATATTTTCTGTGTCCTCATGATTTAGTCTTGGTAGGTTTTGTGTTTCTGGAAATTTGTGTATTTCATCTAAGTTATCCAGTTTATTGGTGTACAGCTGTCCATAGTACTCTCTTATAATCTTTTTTTATTTTTGTAAAATCAGTAGTAATGTCCCTAATATCATTTTTGATTTTAGTAACTTGAGTTTTCTCTGTTTTCTCCTTAGTCCATCTAGCTAAAAGTTCATCTACTTTGTTGATCTTTTCAATGAACCAACTTTTGGTTTTATTCATTTTCTCTATTGTTTTTCTATTTTGATTAATTCTGCTCTAATCTTTATTATTTCCTTCCTCCTGCTAGCTTTGGGTTTAGTTTGTTCTTTTTTTCTAGTTTCTTAAGCTGTAAAGTTAGGTTATTGGTTTGAGATTTTTCTCATTTTTTAATGTAAGCCTTTATAGCTCTACATTTTCCCCTTGGTACTGTTTTCACTACATCCCATAATTTTTGACATGCTGTGTTTTAATTTTCATTTATCTCTAAGTATTTTCTTTTTTCTTTAAAATTTATTTATTTAGTTAGTTTTGGCTGCACTGGGTCTTCGTTGCGGTGCACAGGCTTCTCATTGTGGTGGCCTGTCTTGTCACGTAGCCGGGGCTCTAGGCGCACGGGCTTCAGTAGTTGTGGACACGGGCTCAGTAGCTGTGGCTCTCAGGCTCCAGAACGCAGGCTCAGTAGTTGTGGCACACGGGCTTAGTTGCTTCATGGCATGTGGGAATCTTCCCATACCAGGGCTTGAACCCATGTCCCCTGCAATGGCAGGTGGATTCTTATCCACTGTGTCACCAGGGAAGTTCCTATCTCTAAGTATTTTCTAATTTCCCTTATGGTGTCTACTTTTATCCATTGGTTGTTTAAGAAAGTGTTGTTGAATTTCCACAGATTTGTGAATTTTCCAGTTGTACTTCTGTCATTGATTCGTAACTCCATCTCGTTGTGATCAGAGAGGATACTTTGTATGATATCTATCTTTTAGAACCTATTAAGTGTTAATTTGTGGCCTAATTATGGTCTATGTTGGAGAATGTCTCGTGTGCACCTAGGAATGATGTGTGTGTTGTTGTTGGGTGGAGTGTTCAGTGTGTCTCTGTTAGATCTGGAACGATGTGTGTTGTTGTTGGGTGGAGTGTTCAGTGTGTCTCTGTTAGATCTGGAACGATGTGTGTGTTGTTGTTGGGTGGAGTGTTCAGTGTGTCTCTGTTAGATTTAGTTGATTTACTGTGTTAAGTCATCTATTTCCTTATCTTCCATCTTGCTCTTTTATTCGTTATTGAGAGTGTGGGGTATTGAAGTCTCCAGTTATTGTAGAACTGTCTGTTTCTCCCTTCAATTCTGTCAGTTTCTACGTCATGTATTTTGATGGTCTGTCATTAGATGCATAAATTTTTATAATCATTATGTCTTCTTGCTGAAGAAGCTGTAACCTTTATTAATATATTATGTCCTTCTTTATCTCTGGTAACCTGTTCGACTGCAAATCTATTTTGTCTGATATTAGTATAGCCACATCTCCTCTCTTTAGTTACTGTTTGCATGAAATATCTTTTCCATCCTTTTACTTTCAGTCTATTTGTGTCTTTAGATCTAAAGTGAGTCTCTTCTAGACAGCATATGGTTGGATCATGTGTTTTTAATTCATTCCGCAGATCTATGTCTTTTGATTGGAGAGTTTAAACCACTTACATTAAAAATAATAACTGATAAGAAGGGACTTCTTTTTTTTTTACAGCTAAATTTTTTAAAAATAAATTTATTTTATTTATTTTATTTTTGGCTGTGTTGGGTCTTCATTGCTGCGTGGGCTTTCTCTAGTTGTGGCGAGCTGGAAACTCTGGAAATCAAGTTCTCCTCCTTCTCTAGGGCTTGCTGTTTCATGTTATTGTTTCTGTTTATTGTTTTTGGTTTTTTTATTTCTGTAGTCTGTCTCTGTGCCTGAGGTGTAAATTTAAGGTCTTCTTAGGTCTTTTCTATGCCTTTCTCTGGGCATGCACAGTCACTTTCTGATTTTCCCTTTATATGCAGTTGTTTTAAAATGTCCTAGTCTTTTAATGTCTGGCTCTCCAAAAGGGAAGAAGAATAAAATTAAGGGGAGGGAAGGGTGCTGGCCCTTTAAATCCCCTGGAAGGCACTTCAGCTGTAGGGGGTGGGGCTTATAACACTGAGGGGCAGGTCCAGCAATAATGGCGGCCTGTCTTATTTGTACCTCTATCATCAAGAGGAGCAGTCAGTGATCAGAGAGAGCACAGATCCCCAATATCTGGAGGACAGGGTTCTTTTTTCCGTGCTCTGGCTCCTGCAAGCTGTGTGCAAGCTGCTCCAGAACCCATGCACAGCTGCCTGCCACAGGGGTGGGAGATGGGGAGCTGCTACGGTAATAAGAACTGGTACTGACCAAAATTAACTTCAATTTACTGTCTAAGGCTTCCCTCGGAGGTTGCACACCTTTAGTAGACTCCAGAGTTCCAACACAGTTGCATCAGATTCTGCCAGTGCAATTGTTGTCTAGGTGGGGAGACAGATTCCTGGTGCTTCCTATTCTGCCACCTTCCCAGAATCCTCCCTTCTACACATGTTTTAACTACATGTGAGGTATTTATTATTGCTTTAAATAGTCAGCAATTTTATATTTTTCTACATATTAACCTTTTTAAGGGACCTTCATTCATTTCTGCAGTTTCATTATTATTTTCTTTCATCCTAAAAAACATCTTTCAGCATTTCTTCTAGTGACAATCTGT